GGCTGTCATGTTGGTCCTGAGGAACCAACCCCTCTGTAATGGCAAATGAATCCATTGTCCGTCCTAACCCCAAGGGTCTGCACTGTCACCCCACATCAAATAGCAGTCCACTAAGGGGAAAGATGGAGATCTGTTATCGCAAGGAACAGGACACGCGGCACACGGGCCGATATTATTCCGACTGTATGTGTGCAACGTACAATCTGGAGTTGAGGTTGTTGGATATAAATTTATGACAAATGTGAATGTAAAGGGCGAAAGAATACCTAGTGACCTCAAATATGCAGGCTGTACAACGAGTGTGCAGTTTCAAGATGACAGCAATGCACCCGAGGCACCCGTTTACAACAGTACAATGTATAGCAGGAGATAACGGCCACTAACAACCTGGGATGACCGCCTTCCTGACCGCCTTTATGCCCTAGTTTAACTTCACATTTAAAGCTCCATATTGCGTAAATAAAAGTCGTAAAAAGAGATTAAGCAACATACAGACCTAGATTGAGTCCAAAGACCAGCAGTTAGTTTTTGATATCAACATGCATAGTTGAAAACGCACCTTAACAGGCATCTGTAGATCACGCCATATTCTGCCAGACAAAAACCGCCAATGCAGTCGTTGTCGCACCCCGTCAACTGTGGCCCCCTGAGCTTTGGCCCCAGCTACTGACCGCCTTCACATCGTCAGTCTCCAAGCTTGCGGGGAGATGCCTGGAACTACAGCCTCATGATGGCTTCAGACGATGGAATTGGTCCCCGCAAGAGGCGCAGGACCAGTCCGCCAGGGACTGTACCTTATTTGTTACATTCCCTATTTGAAGATGTGCCATTAGCGACCGAACACAGCTCTGACGTCTACATCACCTGTGTTGAGTACTGGAGTAAGCTCTATCGCTGCCTACTCGATCACTCTCGAGCTAACTAACATTTCACAGATGAAAATCTATATATTGGCACCTCTGCAGCCGAGATCTTGCACTTCGTATGCCTCCCGCCAGCATCCCCAGATGAAGCCGCCGAGCCTACCTTTATACTGGCATCCCGATTACCGATCCTATTCGCCCATAGTCCCCCAGCGGGCAGTGACCAAGAAGGCGTTCGACAAATAGTTGTCTTATCCTCAGTGAACAAGGCATGTGTCCTCTGCAATGGCACCGTTACGTTCTACATGCTGCCGGAGCTCAGCCCAGCTTTTGGAGCCACAAAGGTCAATAACTGCCGCTGGATCGGTGGGTTGGATCTCAACTGGGATGCAGAGGAAGGCGAGGATCCGACTATCATGATTGCTGTGCAGAACAGGATCATGCTGGTCCAGATTGGGGATGAAGCGCGACGGATCAAGAAGATCGAGTTTCCTGGTTGTTTAACTGCGGCGCGACGAGGAACGATTGCATGTGCTGCAGATACACACTCATACTCATTACTTGAAGTGGCACACCAGCAGAAGATTCCGCTATTCCCAATATCTTCTTCGAATGAGGTCTTTGAGTCGGGGCACGTGGAAGATATGAACCCAGCACCCCGGACTCCGCTCAAACGTTCACCCTCTTCCTCCTACCCCACTTCTCCACCGAGTGATGCTTCAGGGCATGGAAGAAGCACTAGTTTGAATGCATTCGTGGGAATGCTCTCACCGCAGGCACAAGCGGCCCAGCTAGATAGATCACCATCAGGAACACCTGATCCTTTCACATCTACAGGGGAACCCAGAAGATCAAGCTCGGAGGAGAGAGAGGGGAACAGCTCCCCCAAGCCTCCCAGTGACCAAGAGCCGGTCAATAACTCTCCCACCAACGACAGCTTGAAGCCTCTACCACCTCTTCCCCCACCAACAAAACAAGGCTCGAAGCGTCTCCAGCCTCATGTGGTTTCTCCAACGCCTTCTGAGTTTTTACTTGTAACCGGAACTGAGGAAACAGAACCGGGTGTTGGAATGTTTGTCGACATGGACGGTGAAGTTGTTCGGGGTACAATTAACTTCCACAGATTCCCAAAGTCTGTTGTGATTGATACAAACGAGAATGATGAAATGTTCCAGACTGGTGAAGACGCTAGAGAGGAGTTTGTTCTCGCTGTAATCGAAGACGAAGACGAAGATGCTGGGAAGTCTCGAACAAGACTCGAAATCCAACGTTGGGATGACGACCCAGGGGAAACCGAGCGGACAAAGAGGTGGTTAGAGATCCCATCTCCCGGAGAGACACAATCTACTCAAGTTGGCCTGCGACACACCCTTAGCGCTAGCCATCTTGAGCTCAATGAAATCGGGCAGCTTTTGCGGATGATCCGCCTCAAAAATCCCATGCTGCCCCCGCATGTGTCAGTAGCAGATTCAAGAACACAGGCATCCATCGAACACTCTCAGAAGGAGAAAGAGCTGTTCGATCTACAAGAAATGACCGACTCAGAGGGATCTAAGAAGAGCGACGGTCCAGCCATCCAGGGTTGGGAGGCTCAGCGTGATGCAGAAGAAGCAAAATTTGCACATGGACTGGGAAAGGTCCAAAGCAGTCTTGTCATGTGGTCTGGATCTCAAATATGGCGCGTACTACAGAATCCATTGATCGTCCAGCTCGAGGACACCTTGCAGAGGGCCCAGGAGACGAAAGAGAGCGAGCACACTGTGCTGCGTAGGGATGCAGTTCTGGCTCTGCTACTCTCCATCCAGGATACCGAGCCAAAGACCGAGGCTGAATTCATTGGATTGAGCTATGTGAAACAAAAGGCCAGCCTTATGCTTTATGGTGACCTACTCTCCATGCAGCCAGACGACCGAAATGCCGCAGCAATCGATGGCACCGAAAAAGCGCTACTGGCAGGTAACCTCGACCCGCGTTTGGCATTGCTCTTTATTCCTCTGTTGCGATGTGAGGTTTTGCAGGGGCCTCAGGGTATATGGATACACGCTGGACTGGCAACCATGACAGAAAAATATATTGAACAGGTCGGAAAGATAGGCGTTCAATCCTCTGGATTGGATGCTTCTCGCAGTCCTGTTCTCAACATGGTGAAACGGTTCCTTCTTTCCTGGCAGCAGAAGCGCGGATATGGTAGTATCACCGATGAGACATATGTTTTGGATAGCACAGATGCCGCGCTGTTGCACCTGACCTTGGAACAAGATGCGTATCTGACGCGAGATCAGCGGGCTGCATCGCCAATTCGCCCTGAGTTGAATAGACTGGTTGACAATTGGAAAGGCAATTTTGACCGAGCAGTGATGCTCCTGGAAACATACAAGCGGCTCTATGTGCTAAGCCGCTTGTATCAAAGCCAAAAGATGTCTCGAAATGTTCTCAAAACCTGGCGACGAATTGTCGATGGGGAGACTGACGCTGGCGGAGAGGTCTCCGCGAATGGCGTGGAGATGCAAATGCGCAGGTACTTGGTCAAGATCAAGGACGTGCAGCTGGTCGAAGAGTATGGCTCTTGGCTGGCTGAGCGGAATCCCAGTCTGGGCATCCAGGTGTTCGCGGACAGTGCCAGCCGTGTTAGACTGGAACCTGCGGATGTTGTTGCTTTACTCAAGGAGCGAGCTCCAAACGCGGTCCAGGTCTACCTAGAGCACCTGGTATTTGCAAAGAATGTGAGATGTTCCATTGTCTTGTTCCATGAGCACATCCAACTAATCTGTGAATATAGTACACGCAATATGCCGACGACCTAATCTCATACTACTTAGACACGGTACTCTCTGTGCTCGAGTCATCCCCGGAAGCACGAACTTCTTTGGCCGACTCCTACTCAACCTATCGAGCCCTGCGTGCCCCCAAACCGACATACCTAAACTTCATAATTGAGAACACCCCCACAGAGCCCTGGTGGCAGTCCCGACTCCGATTACTTCAGCTGCTGGGTGGCATCTCCAGCTCCCAGTTCACCTCCCAACCCCTCCCGACAGGAATCAGCTACTCAATCCCTAACGTCCTCACCCGCATCGAGCCATTCCAGAACGAGCTAGTCTCGGAATGCATTATCCTCGACGGTCTACAGGGCCACCACGGCCCGGCCCTCCATCTCCTCACACACGGGCTAGGCGACTACGACTCCGCAATCCGCTATTGTCTCTTCGGCGGCCCGCGTAGCTCTTCTTCTTCTTCTTCAACAGGCACCCCTCCAGAACTGGCAGACTACACTCTGCAAACAACGCTCTTCCGCCACCTGCTCGACGAGTTCCTGCAAATCGAGGACCTGTCCGACCGCATCGAGCGCACAAGCGATCTCCTCGCGCGCTTTGCGGCATGGTTCGATGTCCGCGAAGTCCTCGATATTGTTCCAGAGGACTGGAGCGTTGATATTCTCGGCGGCTTCTTTGTGCATGTCTTCCGCACCCTTGTATCGCAGACTCGCGAGACTCGCATCGAGCGTGCCCTTAGCGCAGGTCTGAATCTGCGCATTGGTGCCGAGTATATCGATGGCATGGAGAAGGTTGGGCCCTGGGTCGAAGAGGCAGAGGGTGTTAGAAGGTTGAAGGATGCACAGCCGCGGCAGGTTTCCTTGCCAACTGATTGCCCTGGTGATGGTGCTTCTGATGATTCTGCCGAGTTTGGAGAGACGGTGGGGCCTACATCTGGGGAAGTGGGCCAGTAGATTGATGATCAGGGGGTGTGTACAGGATAGTACAATATGTGGATATGTTATGTTGGCTTATAATCTATGATACCTACGCAGTTTGCTTGGAGAGCTTTCGTGTTGACTTTGTTATTTTTTTTGGTTATATCCTAGTTTGGTTTTGGCGCTATGTATCATGAGCCGATCCCCAAATTCATCATCTCCTTCCGTGAAAAGAAAAGAGAGACGAGAAAGACAGACCTGCACAACAGTAGACGGTCCTATCATGCACATTCCAAGTCGACAGAAAAGAAAAAAAGCGAAACCATCATATTGCGTTCGTTCCCTTCGTAGCTACTGATGAGCTTATGTTCCGGCGCACGCCGAAAGCCAGTGGGACATTAAGGTGTGTAGTGTTTTGAAGCTCCAACCGGATCCAGGATGTCGATTTCCCGAAATGACATCCCGATCCGGAATGAAATGAAACCCGGAAAGAAGATAATACGTCAGAAAGAGAGGTTTTTGTTTACTCTTCTGCTTGCAAGAAAGGGTTGGGGATCTCCTCACTGCCATCGGCGGGGGAGATCAGTACGATCAAAGTACCACGAGCGACGATGAGACCCATTGAGCGGGTGGTAGTGTTGCCCTCCTCATCTGTGGAAGTTAGTATATAAGAAGCAGGGATATGGGGATTAGATCCAAGGGAGAAACTTGGAACTCACCACGCATGGTTTCCTTAACTTCGTCGAGGACCAGGTTCATCAGCTGGTCGTAACCCTTGAGGGTACCGGTGACTGTTAATAGTTAGCATATATAGTTCGTATATGGCGATGAGGTCATTGAAGACCAAAAATAGAAAAGAAAACGCAAAAATAGAATGCATATATGAGAGTAAATCAATCCAACATACCTTCACGGCCACCATTGAACTTCACTTGAACCTCCTTGTCCATGTACTTGTTGAGATCCAAGATGTTTTCCTTTTTGGGCTTCTCCTGTGCACCGCCACCACCGCCACTTTTCTGCTGGCCCTGGCCGCCACGGCCTCCACGACCGCGACCGCCTCGGAATGAGCCTCGTTCAGACATGGCTGTGTAAATTGAGGGATTTAGAAAAATGCAGGAAGAGATTAGAGGGTAGGAAGATTGGGTCCGAGAGATACAGACGGGTAACTCGGTATCTCTTGTGTATGGGGGGGGATAGCGGAAGGTACAAGCAAGGTGGGCGCGTATATGAGGGATTTTTAGGTGGAGAGTGGCCTCAGGCACTCAGGCATGGTGGAACGTGGAGTCCGCCTTTCAAGGCTGGTATGGGGATTACCAGGTATCACTGTATTATTGCTGTTAATAGCTTCGACGGATCCCGCCCGGAAGTATTTTACAGGTATCCTTTTATCTCCGAGCTGAATATTTACACATCAAATGAGTGCTTTTTAACATTCCTGTCTTCAATTCAATGTTACTTCCATGTATGGAGTACATCTATCTACATGATCTATGTATATCTTTACTGAGATTCTTTTTCAAGTAATCTGATATTAGGCTCGATGATTATTGTGAGTGTTGTGATTCCCTCCGAGTTCCCGGGATCAAAATGTTTCAGCCCGCTGGCCCGTTCAGGCATCAGCGAAAAGACATCTCCACAAGGCTCAAGGCTTAATTTCGCCGATGGAACCATAGATATGAACCTATAGGATGGGCTCGGTGTCTCAGTGATTATGTAGACTTATCTTTACAGGAAATGCAAGACTAAAGGCAAGCCGTAACCCGTGGACTGTTGTACGCCTGATTGATCAGCGTATCGTTGGCCAGCGGAACTCTCCGGCGGGACTCCGCTGAGGGCTCCAAGGTGACGAGGCACAGTACTTTGGAAGTAGTTCCTCACATTGCGCAGGTTGCAATCGGAATTCCTGTGACACTATTCGTCAATATCATAAATGAGAAACTAATAAAATAATAAAATAACATAAAATAAAATAAATAGAGCGACCCTCCGAGTGCCGGGCTCCCCCAACGGAACCCAGATCACGTTTTTCCTCTCCACTCCCCGTGCGCTGTTCCGTCCCTCTGTAGCCCTACGCTTCTTCTCCTTTCATTTCTTCTATGGATGTTGCTTGAGTCGTATTAAAGGAGTTACCTGTCGGTTTCTCTCCGCGCAAGTCCGGTTCGTCTCCGCGCAAGTTTTATACTTCGCGCTCTTATCTAAAATCTCCGCGACTTCCTCTCTTCCCCAATCTCCAATCTCCAATCTCTTTTCATATCCCAACCCAGCTTCAGGGTGTCTGTCTACGGGATCTATTCCCACTCCCACCCACGATGGAATCCCATACTCCAACCGCGGAGTCGTCTCACAAACGGCCGAGGTCTCCCACTGCTGCCGATCACGGCATGTCAAAAATGCCCAAGACGCACTCGAACCACCTGCAGATAAACTATCTGGCACGGCAATACCCTGACAACCTACCCCTCGTTTCCGTCGATGATACCATGCCCGCGATCGTCCATCTGCTTGGCGAATACGACGGAGTTCTACACCGACACGAGAGCATCGCTGGAAACCTGGGCGCATGCCCGCTCGGTCCGATCTTGATCAAGCGATTCGAGCGTCTGTTCGACGGACCGCCGCAAGTGTTGAAATCTCATGGCAAAGATGGACCTACGGTGACTTGGCTCGATGTGGTCGAATTCGCAAAGAATAAGCCCGAACAGTTCAATCTGGAGAAGTCGCGCAACGGCGTGCGAGTCTGTCAGTTCTACACCAAGCAATGTCGTGTGGAAATCAGCGAGGAGGATTTCGTTTTGATTGCGTCCGGCATGCCGCAGAAGATGATCCCACCCCAGCCTATTATCGAGGATGAGGAAAAGGAGCTGGGCGCGCTGGAGATTCTCGAGAAGAACTTGCAGCACATAACCCAGATGGCTGATCAAGGTAAGCAACCATTATGTACATATCTCAGCTTATGATGTATTTACTAACAACATTTGTGTGCTCAGTCTCTGCTCGAGCGAGACAGCTTAACCATCGTTTGAAGAACCGCCGCAATGCTATTGTCACCCGACGAGAGAACGACGCTTCTCTACACGGACAATCCCGAAATGTCACCGAAATCTGGCGCGATGCCAACGGTCATGGCCCAGGAAATGGCCATGCATCATCTCACCCTTCCCCGTCTGGTTTCGTCGCTGTCAACGCTCATCGTCCAGAGGGCGAGCACACCGAGGAAAACCCTCTAGCATCCCAATTCATGTTCTCACAATCCACCGATAATGTCACCATGATCAACGGTCAATCGATCAAAGGTGCCTCCCCAACAACCCGTGCAGACTTGATGAAAAGGTTTTTCACAACAGCTGACCGTCATGCCCGCGGCTATGACGACGCAGCAGCCCCAGTCAACCCTCAACCACTCCCACGGCCTCGTGGCTCCGACCCAACAGACTACAGTCTCTACAACCCCGCGACAGCAACCGCAACCCCAACCCCAACTGCAACTTCAGCTAAAGCTGCAACCGCAACTACAACCGCAGTCGCCATCCCAAACACCCCATCATCCCTCCTCCCGCCGCCAAAATCAATCCACCAAGAAAAAGACGACGGAGGCCCCTTCAAGCTAGAAATGATAGCCCGAATGGAAGAGCTCCAACGCGGCGAGCGCGTAATCCCACCCTGCGACCGCTGCCGCCGCCTCCACATGGACTGTCTCAAGAACCTTACAGCCTGCGTTGGTTGCACCAAGAAACACGCCAAGTGCTCCTGGCGCGACGTCAAAGAAGAAGAAATCACAGCAATGCGGGCGGGAATCACTACATCAACGACATCCCACGAGCGCCCGGAAAACGACCGCTCCACCTCAACCGTCACCCCACAACCCCAGTACGGCATGGGACCACTGCCCCCGATCTCCGCTGAGCGTGAGCACCGCCGAGAACAGCCCTTCGAACCAGAGAGGCAGGCCTACTACTACCACAACCGACGCGAGTCAGCCCCCTCCGCCCCGAACCTGGCTCCTGGGTCTACGGCTCCGATGGAGCTTCCTTCAAGTAATAATTCACCGCGACGGGCCGTGAGTGAGACAGAGAATAGAGATCGTCCTCGTGCTCCTGCTCGTGCCGTGGATCGCTTTGAAGATGATGATCCCGATGCCAATCAGCGGCTCAAACAAGCTATTTCGGATACTGTGAATCATCACACTCGTGTTGCTGCCGCTGTGCAAGAGAGGGAGCGTGGTGCAGAGCGTGCTGGCGAACATCAAGCTATTATTCTTCCTGCTCCAAACCAGGCTCAGGCTCCGACTTCTGGTGCTGGTGCTTATGACCGAGAACGTGAACGTGACCGTGAACGGGAGCGGGAGGCTGATCGTGATCGTGATCGGCGTATGGTGCATGCGTAAAGCATTGGCTCTTCTATTGATTCGTGTACAGATTTTCTTTTGTTTTTACATAGCCGTTGGCAAAATGGGCTGGGTGTGGGAGTACTATGTTAGATATCCCTCTGATTAGCGTTATTTTTTTTTATTTTTTTTTTTTTTTTGCTCTGCTTCTTCCATCTAAATATCTCACCTTCTTCTCTTGTAAATATTTATCCTCGTTCACTTCTATCAACAAGCAAGGTTTCCACTGTATTCACATACCATTGCTTTATTTGGATGTAAGGTCTTTAACCATTGTGTAGTATTTTTAAGACACTGTTTATTTACTTCGCACATTCGTTAATATATATTTTTTTACTAGTATTAGTATAACTACTTAGTAGAGAATAATATAATCTACCCCACGACTAGAAGCTTGATCCGGATATATTCTCTGCCCTGCAGACATCCGTCGGATCTCCCCCTAGTATGTACTCTATTAATCCTAGTCATCCCCGGCATATAAATCCGATCTTACATCCGACGGGGGATTAGTGGGGACATTGCGGGGTGAAGAGGTTTCCATTCGGGATCTTCTGATTGAACAGAACGAAGCTCCAATGTTGTATCTCCTTGGGGAAAGTAATGACCGCACCCCACCAATTCCTATAACATATAAACACCTTGACCCCGGATTTTCTACATAGCTCTAAAAACCATTTACTATCTCACTGCTTCCTTCTATACTTGCAAAACTACAAAACCTACAGCCCACAATGGATCCCTCCAAAGTCAAGATCCCACCAATGAAAGACCAAACAGTGGACAACATCACCGACAATGTAATCACAATCAACAGTCTCTGCGAAGACGAACGCATGAAATACATCCTTGAACGCCTAGTAACCCACCTCCACGACTTCGCCCGCGAAACTCGTCTCTCCAGTGACGAATGGATGACCGGCCTCCGCTTTTTGACAGAAGTAGGCCAGATCTGCACAGATGTACGACAAGAATTCATCCTGCTGTCCGACGTTCTAGGTCTATCTATCCTGGTCGACTCAATCGACCACCCCAAGCCGAAGGGATCCACAGAGGGGACAGTGCTTGGTCCCTTCCACACGCACGACGCGGAGGAAATGCCCGCTGGCGATTCCATGTCGCATGATCCGAAAGGCGAGCCACTGCTCGTTGTTTGTACGCTGCGGGATTTGCAGGGGTTGCCAGTCGAGGGTGTCAAGATTGATATCTGGGAGACGGATTCGACGGGTCATTATGATGTTCAGTATGCGGGGAGGGAGGGGCCTGATGGGAGGTGTATTATGCGCTCCGATAACACTGGTGTCTTTTGGTTTAAGGCTATCACCCCTGTGCCGTATCCGATTCCTCATGATGGACCTGTTGGGAAGTTGTTGGAGAAGTTGCATCGCCATCCGTATCGGCCTTCGCATATGCACTTTATGTTTGAGAAGGAGGGTTATGATCATTTGATTACGTACGTTTTTGATATTTGGTTTCGATTTAAGGGAATTATGAAGTATATCATGCTAACTTGAGTTACAGTGCTCTCTACCTCCGCAATGATCCTTACGAAACATCTGATGCTGTCTTCGGTGTCAAGGATTCCTTGACTGTGGATATTGGCAAGGCTGACGCTGAAATTGCGAAGAAATATAACGTCCCTGAGGGTCATCCTCTCCTCACATATGACTTTGTGCTTGTGTCTGACGAAGAGACGCGCAAGTTGCGTGCGCACAACTCCAAGGTTGCGCTGGATAAGCTGGGGCGGAAGGTCAAGATTGTCAATGGGCTGCCTGTGCCGGACCTGGATTAAATGTTAAATGCTATCACGAGAGAAAAGTGCATTGGAGAAATATCAAATATCACTTGATCTGTTTATGGATGAGTTTAGCTCGGAACTATTATTTCTTCCAATATCGTCCACTTTTCGTCAGATAACGCGAAGAGAATCAGAATTATATGTGAATGCAAGACTTCGACAAAGCAAGTGAATCCCGGAACTAAGACTGCCGAATATAACCCGCATATCTGTATTCCGCCGGTCTTCAGTCTTGATTGGAATATGTAACATGTTCTCAGCGATGCCTTTGCTCTCATTGATCTAGGTTGTCTCTTGAGTCTGTGCACCGTACGACCACCGGACTTACGAGGATAGAATAGTTTGCATCTAGGCTATCCAATGTAGTTGGTCGATTTATACCACTGGTACAACCAGAAACCAAGGCAGTTGAGGGGGGCTCGATGGGGCCATTTGTGTGTATATAGAAACTTTACAATGGCTTGATTGAGCATCTGCATTTGGCTCCGATTTCCCGTCAATATCGACACTATGCGTTCCACTTATATTTTCTTGTCTGTGGCAGCTCCATTGGCTTCAGCCTTTGTCATCCCAGACGAGAGGGTCCTTGCGGATATAGTCCCTGAGACTCGAGCCACGAATGATCGGTCATCTAAAGCAGGTGGCGAGATAAATGGAATCTCACCGGATGAACATAGAGGTCGGGGAAGATATGGAGACTGGCGCGATGACGATGGATATCCCTCGCACGGAGATTGGCCCGGATACGACGAAGACCCGCACGGGAGATGGCCTGGACACCGAGATGACGACGAAGACAGACACCACCCTCCACACCCAGGACACGGAGAATGCAGAGACGACAACGACCACGACATACACCGACCAATCGACGCCTGTCCGGGCCCGCTCTGTCACGCAGACAAAACAACATGGGAACTCATCAAATCAAACGAGCATACATCCCGACTCGCCGAGCTCCTCACCGACGATAAAGACCTGGTCGATATCCTTAACAGCACAGAGGCAAACCACACCTTCTTCGCGCTGAGGAACCATGCCCTAGAGGGACTTCCACGACGAAATGGCCCAAATCCAAAGTTCATGTCCAGCTTACTGCGGTATCACATCCTGCCTGGTCGATTATCCATCGAGCATATCGTGAGCCACGGGACACTACCAACGAAGCTGATAGAGCCAGCTCTGGAATCGAGGTTACCGCAGAGGATTGTTGTTCGAGAGCATCATAACGGAGTGATGTTGAATCGGAGGAGTAGGGTCGTTGCAGCTGATATGGTAAGTAAAACACAACCTTGGAATATCTCTTGTATGATGCGCATGGGACGCAGACACATACGTATGAAGGTATGTATAACTATGTATGTACTAACCGGACTCCCAGAAAACCAGAAACGGCATAATCCACATAATAACCAGTCCGCTGCACCCACCCCCCCGAGACACGGACAATGCTACATCAAGCACCAGCTGACTTCAGCACCTTCACGCTGGCGCTAGCACGCACGAATCTCGCCTCCAAGCTTGATCCGGCGAAGCGACAGGGTGGGACAACCTTCGCCCCGACGAATGCTGCGTTTAGACGGCTCGGGGAGCATGCTAATCGGTTTCTGTTCTCAACGCAAGGTGAGAAGTGTTTGCGTGCGTTGATGCAGTATCATATTGTGCCGAATCAGACGCTGTACTCGGATGTTTTGTATAGTAGGAATGGGAAGGCTCATGGGTTGTTTTCTGGACATGGTAGTGGGGATGGGCACGGGGGGTAAGGGTGGGGGGTAAGGGCGACGGTGGGCTAGAGGAAGGGTATGTGAATGTTCGGCTTGGGACTCTGTTGAAGAAGAGGGATTTGGAGATTGATGTTAAGAAGGGGCTTGGTGAGGTTGAGATGCGGGTTAATGGGTTTGGAAGGGTTGGACGGTTGGATTTGTTAGCGAGAGATGGGGTGGCGCATGTTTTGGATCGGGTGTTGATTCCGCCGAGGAAGATTCAGCATAAAGATGAAGGTAAATATGGAGAAAAACTAATGACTGAGGAACTTGTCGAGAGGTTGGATGGCTGTGTCTATGAGGTGACTCGTGGTGAACTGTGAGAAATGTCTACAGGCTTTACGGTCAAATAAAACAATTTGAAGTTATTCATTCCTATGTTTGTATTTCAATCACGATGGCGAGATCAGTGCTTGCAAAAATGACACAAAAGATGTAACCCTTGAGTTGATCCCCCTGAGAAATTGCCTCTAGTCGACAGCCTGTCAAACCAGAGACATGAGCATCAAACAGGTGGTCGGAAACCGCAAGCAGCAAATAACTTGAAACCATAACGATCACCACAAGTAAAGTGTTTCGAGGACTCGCTAGTGCATTCGCCTAGCTGGCTTCATTAGAGCCTGGAAGGACGACTCGAGAGCTTTCTTGACCTCCTTGTAGCTGACAATGAAGGAACTCTGCTCGTCACGACTGATCAAATGAATCTTCTCGTCAGTTCCCGCATCGAGCTTGTTCAAACAAGTGAGGATATGGCCAAGATCAACCACCGCATCACCTTGGCCATCCACCGAGTGGAAGACGTAATCACGGAAAAGCTTCAGGAAGTAGCGTTCTCCGCTCTCAGACCAGCGCTGGTCAAGTTCATATTCAGGACGTTCATTGATGAGCCCGAGTTTGCTCATCAGGCGCACAATTCGCCCATTCTCCAACTCACGGCTGAGATCAGAGTTCAGCTGATCATCCAGGTGGAGTGCCGAATCAAAAGTCGACATCAGCTGGGAGGAGATGCCAGTGATAAAAGTGTCGATGGTTCGCTCTTGATCCTTTTGCAGTCCACTCAACAGCCAGAACACAGAGTTCTTCAACTGAGGGCTGTAGGCGCGAGTGAAATGTTCCAAGGCTTTGGTGGGGTTGTGGGTGGCAGTGGCCGTGTTGGCGCCAAGGCTGACAATCATTTGGCCAAAGTTCACTAGATCCTGTCGCTGGAGGTCGGCCACAGTCCGCTGGGTATCGAACTGCACCACATCAAGAATAGCGCAGGCATTGATGCGGACACGGCTCTTGGCGGTAAGCAAAACCTTGCTAGGTTCGAGAACTCGAGCAGCAAGACCGTTGGCATGAATTGCCTTGAGTCCATTGGCGATCTGAGTCATGTAGCCCCAGAGAACTTGCTCCGGAATATGAGAATTAGTGTGGCGGCCTGGGAAGCGGGTTCCAGCGTTTAGATGCTGGTCTGCAAGTGTCTTGGACAGTGGGTGGTAGTCGGTCACAAAGATCAGAGAACTGTCTTGGAAGCTGCGGCTAGTGAACGCATCGTGAATGGTCACCACACTGGCGTTGCAGACACGCTTCCAGGCTTGGACAGAGCGGATAGCCTTCTCATTGGTCAGGCGGAAACCTATCAAGATTAGTGGGAAGCTACAAAAAAAAAAAAAAAAAAAGGAAATGGGTAGGTTTTCATACCCTCAAGTCTGCGAAGAGCATAAAAGGTGCCATCTTTGCTAGACTGGGCCTTGTAGATCCAGCTCGGATAGCCAAAGATCGCAGCATTCTTCTGGTGACTGAGATCCAGAGGGACAAGGGAATGGAAGTAGTCGACCTGGGCAGGGAGCTGGGTGTCTTCGAGTTCATCAGCATGAGTACAAATCATTGTCAATTGCGATCCATCGTACTAGGTAGGGTTTGAAGAGTAGCTGCAGATTTCTTCTGCAGTTCTTCGCGCAAGTCGTTCGGGATAAAGAGATCATGCACGTTACGCTGGTATCCCAATGTGTTCTGGCTGTGAGGGCCAATTGGGGCATAAAGATGGTACTGAATCTATTGGGCGGTTAGGACTCATTCAAACAAAGACAACAATACATTGGATACCAACGTACCGGTTGCTGGAATCCAGTTTGATTTGCAAAGAAAGCACCTCCCATCGCACCAGTAGGGTCATGGGAGTAGGGGTTGCCAGAAACAGGGCCAACGGCACCGGGAGTCATGGGAGTCGGGGTGGTCACAAAAGGATCGAATGCACCCGTGGGAGCGATTCCTCCGTTTCCATTGCCCTGAAGAGGTGCCTGGGTGGGAGTATTAGCATGGTTGCGCAAAGCAGCGCTGAAAAGCGGAGGAACGTCGCGTCGAGGCAGATGGGAAGTGAAGTACGGGGAGGTCTGAGAACGCCCTGGATCAAATTCCGCTGCCATGGCAGACAATCCCCCCGGCGCCATCGCGATGGTAGAGTAGAGATGATGATAAGAATACCGGCGATGCAGGGAGAGGGGGGAAGAGAGAGAAAGAGAACGGGATGGTTAAGAAAGAAAACAAGGAGCAATTTATGGGTGAGGGAAATCGAATAGTAACCCAAGAGGGCAGGGACGACTGACCACGTGCTCAAAGCCCTGAGGAACAAATTCCTGTACATCGGCCACCGCCCAATCTTGCACTGCTTCTGACCGTGTTGTTGGCGTACTCGTGTTTGAACCTTTTTCTAACGTCAGTGGATGCGCTTGTAGCCTTCCTCTCTCTTCCCACAAAGCACGTACGTGATGATGTTGTTCGAGGTTGGAAAGGAGCTGCACTAGCAGCTTTCGGAGATATAGCGGTGGACTTTTTTGGTGCTGATACACCGTTTCCAGACAGTAGGGATGGGGTGAAACTAGGTGAGTCGACATTGAACCGCTTCTTGCTATCAAACGAGATAGTCCTTGTTAGCAAAGCTCGTCTGCTTTTGGTCTAAAAGACCGATCTCGCATCGCACCTGTCCGACTGGTTTGCATTGAGCTTCGACGGGTCATGATTGAAAGCACAACCTGGATGCAAGAGTTTCAAATCAGCTTCAATATACATGCTGGCCGTGATCAAGGGTTGCCAATACCTTTGTCTTCATAGCGGCATCGCCCATATATGGTCACGTTGCGGCACAATGTGTCTTTCGCATTCTCTATTAAGCAAAATCATTGTTGTCAGCAACTCCGTCCGTCTCAAATTCGGCATCTATCTCTGGCTTGCCCATCTCAGACCTGCAATGGAAGTGAGATGCTAGCCTTTGATTTCGAATCACACTTACCGCGGCTTTTCATTTTCGGTGATCCTGTCGTCCGACGAGCATCCTCCAATGGAGGCTTTCCGGCAGACGCCATGATATCTGGCTGATACCCACTTGATGGTGCGGATCAGCGCAAAAAGATCCCCATTGAAACCGGAGTCGGTAGAGAACAAAGGATGCTATTGGGTGAAAACCGCATTCCCCTGCTTTGATCCTATATAAATTCAAGTCACCAATAGTCCATGCGATTGGCGGCGGGTCAATTCCGGGAGAGCCCACGGACGTCGGGCGGTATCTCAACCGATAACAATAGGCATGAATGGGATATAAGGATAAGACCAAAGTCGTCTCTCATCCCAAGGAATGATTAAGAGCGACAGAACCGATGGAGATGAAGACGCGGGGCGAGAAACGAACTCAAGTGAAGGGGGATACGCACGGACCAGGCGGTCAGAACATCAATGAGAGCTTCGTCTTGAGGCCACTTAGAGCTTCGACGTCACATCGCTCTTACCATCTATATAGTGGGCTTTGTGTGCACGTGCTCAATGACCACCCCCAAGTGATCTTCCTCTTCATGGGTCTTCTTTTCTCTGTCTTTTGATACTACCAAAATCCCTGAGTTTATGGCTTACGGCCCTTCTATGACAAGATGTCACAACCGGAAGTTGACCTGGACCAGCTTTCCGATAGCGAGAAGTCTACGCTAGAAATGTACATGGCTGTTACTAGCCAGGAACCTTCAGAGGCAATTCCGCTACTACGCCGGTCGCAATGGAATTTGCAGGTTGGTCTATCTTCCCCGACTTCCGGCGAAGCGTACGAGAGTCTAACTGATCCCCGCATGATAGATTGCCATATCCAAATTTTTTGATGGCGAAGGCCCAGATCCCCTTGAAGAAGCTCGCGCTGCCATGGATCGTCCACCTCCACCCCAACCCAACCGCCGAACCCAGAATTTAATGACTGAGGATTTAACCGAACACCTGTCGCAAGTTACCCGTGCCACAGCTACAGATCTGGCTCCACGAGTTGACACACAACCAGGAGACCAGCCAATCTACCGGCCTCCATTCATCCTTAGTCTACTACTCACTCCATTTAATTTGGTGTATCGACTCCTTTGCAGTTCATTCCGCCTCTTTGGTGTCCTCTTCCCTTTCTTGCCACGCTTGTTTAACAGGACGGCAAACCCTGCGCTGCAAGGCGCTCGCCGAAATACCACCGGGCGTCGATCCCTCGGCCCTAAGGATACTGCGGCTCGATTTATCCGCGAGTTTGAAGAAGAATATGAATCTAACCCGATTCCGTTCCTGGAGAACGGATACAACATGGCGCTGGAGAAAGCCCACCGTGACTTGAAGTACCTTGTGGTCATTCTCTTATCTCCAGAACACGACGATACGAACAGCTGGGTCCGTGATACCCTGCTGGCACCAGAGGTTGTGGAATTCATCAACGACCCCCAGAACAACCTCCTGGTGTGGGGCGGTAACGTGCAAGATTCCGAAGCATACCAAGTCGCCAACTCATTGAAATGCACCAAATTCCCCTTTGCAGCGGTCATTGTCCATACCCCGAATGTTTCATCAACCGCCATGTCTGTTGTAGGACGGATCGCAGGTCTCACTACACCATCCGAGGTCGTGAACAAGCTCCGGACAGTCGTAACATCTAACAGTGAACCTCTGGACCGACTCCGATCTTCACGCGCTGAGCAGCAAGCCTCGCGCAGCCTTCGCGAAGAGCA